CCCAGGAACGAGGAAGTGACATCGTGGCAGGATCTGAAGCCAAAGAACGAGCCCCAGTACGGTAAAGTGGAGATCCTTCTTAAGGATTGACTGAACACATCTCTCTCTCTCTCTCTCTCTCTCTCTCTCTCTCTCTCTCTCTCTCTCTCTCTCTCTCTCTCAACAATGGCGACTCCTTCCTCTTCCGCTCCTTTCAATCCCACCAATTCCCGTCCTCCACATTCGAAAATTTTCGCCAATCTTTCAGACAAGTTCTGTTATTTTTGCACGTGTATTTCACGGGTTTATGGGGTAGATTGTTATCCCTTTGAGTAGGGGTTCACTGACTGGGTAGAATGCGCCACGTATGTCAATCGTGCGCATGACGCGTGTGTTCGATATCGAACGAGTGATAGGGCGTGGAAATGCCCTCTGCGTCGAACGAACAAGCTTCTCGAGGCCGTCAAAACTGATGGCCCCGAATACGTTGAAAAATACCGAAGGGATGAAGTATGGACGGATAAAATATTATTGTTTAAATTAGTGGGCAAGCCATTGGACCATCTCACTAAGCATGACAGGCGTCGGGCCACTGAGAGGTCCCGAGATTACAGATGGATCAACGGTCACTTGGAAAAACGAAAAACAGACGGATCGTGATTATGGTTGACGGTTCCCCACCCATTTCAGCGATATGACTGGACCAAATCGACGCATGAGGAGCAGGCCGCTCATTTTACGGTATGTGTCACTGAAGCGATCATCGATCAAAATCGATGGTTCTGGTCTAATATTCACGATGACGTAAGGCACACAGTTGCTAACTGTCTAGTCTGTGCTGTCGATCGTGCGCCCCTCCGTGGGCCAAACACGATAGTCCCGACGGAGGTAGAACATCACTTCCTACGAGTCAGTATGGACACGACAAATATTAACGTGCCACTTGTCCCCAACTGTTGTGCGTACTTCATTCTCTTGGTGTTGATTGACCATTTCTCGAAGTACATCGAAGTTTACCCTTGTAGGACATGTAAGGCCTCAGAGATAGCTACGTACATCGACCGATTCCTCAATACCCATCTAGATACAAAAGAAATTATAACCGACAATAAGTCTGAATTCAAAGCCGAGGTAGAGGAATTATTGATGCGTCGTGGCGTTACTCTTCGACACACTGCTCTCCATGTCTCCCAGTCCAATGGGCTGGCCGAGAACGCGAATCGCATGATTAAGACCGCTCTTCGCAGGAACTTAGTGACCAATGACACGCGACCTTGGCCTGAGATACTGTATCAAATAATTGGGATCCATCGGGCGACCCCTCATGAATTTACTGGGTTCACCCCCTTTCAACTACAAACAAATAGTATCCCATGTGTGGACAATCGGAGTGCCTCGAAAAATGCCGAGAAATGGGGAAGGGACATGGGGTCGGTGACCGTCGGCCCTCAAGGGTAAGGCTAAACGGTATATGGAATTAATGGAAAAGGCTATCCCTAGATTAGTCCGAAAAACGCAGAAAATGATTAAACTTGCCCATGGTAGGAAGGTCCGTAGTTACGAGGCTTGGAATGGGAATGCAGGCCCACAACACCAGTATAAATTAGGGGACGTAGTACAGGTACGTAAATGTGCACGTGACCGGAAACTCGCTCCCAAGTTTTCTGGCTACTTTCGAGTAGTGGAACTCAGACGTAACGGAGCCAATACTGTGCGCATCACTCCTGAGACCGGTGTCGACGATAGCTCCCTTCTTATCGTCCGTCATACCTCCTACCTTCGTCCCCTCCCACCCTTTGAGGACCCTATCTCGCCTTCTTCTTCTTTCTCTAGCCTAGGCGAGGATCTGGTGTGTCCCCTTTCATCAAGTACCAGTTTTCCTCAGTCTTCGCCATGACCTTCGCCATCGAACCGACTCTTCCTCCACAACTTCTAAAAAACCCCAACGTCGTCGTCGACGGGCAGGGAAGGCGAATCACGCCGGACGAGTTCTTCCAAAGAGACTCTGCAGAGTTCGATTGGTACTCAATTTGTGGTCAGCATACCGCCGAGGCCATAAAACGGTTGGTGGAAAAGGACTCCGCTGCGGTCAAAGTCTATGGCCTCCGCGCGTACTCGAAAGTGCGAGTCGTCTTTTTCGACGATGACCAAACACGAGGGTACTTCAATGTCTCCGTCTTTGACAACACACGGGAGAATCGCGCCATGATGTTATCATTCCAAGACGCTGTGCGTGATATGAGGCAATGGTGGATCAACAACGACAGAATCGAGACCCTCAAAGCTAAGGTCAGCGAGAAGGATGCGGACGCCGTGGCGCACCAGAAAAAGTGGCAAAACTTCCTCAGGGCCTGCATGGGGAAGGCGTGCGACAAGGCATTCGTGAAACAGGCGCTGGACAATGAATACAGTAAAGATTGGAGTAATAAACTTCGGGGGTACATGAACCTTGCCACTTCCACCGTCACAGTTTGGCCACTGGTGGGAAGTTCTTCTTGATGTTCGAGGAGGGTAAGCTGTCAATCGGCGACGACAAGATCCCGCTTGACATGCCGGGGAGGATGGAGGGGCACTGGCCCGGCCCGTACACCGACGAGAGCAAGGGACAAAGGTCGTTGTACCACTGTATATATGCAAGAGATGGTCCCAAAGGCTCCATCGTGTCATGGAAGGATTTGTGTCCTTCTTACTTCAAGAACTTCGGGGACATGACATGTCGTGAGGGAGAAGTCGCGCTACTCCTGCTCATGAAGGGGAAAGTGGTGGCAACAAATGTCAAAGTCACGCCTCCGCGGGTGAACACAAAGTGCCTCCTCGACATTATGCGCAAAGAGAGATACATGATTCGCATGTTCAACTATGTCGTGTTCCGCGCCTAGGGAAGGGGTGGTGAGGAGTGGAACGACGACTTCTTCATGTCGTACAAGGACCTCGAAGAGAGGTATGCACAGAGCGGGCTATGCGCAACTGCATGGGAGAAAGAACGAGAGAAGCTGCATAGCAACAAAGTGAAGACGTTCACTCGACGACTTGGAGGAGTAGAGGAGGCAAGGCAAAGCGCGGGTTTGGGGCCAACAAAAGTGATGTACAAGGAGGCTCTGTTTCACTTCAACGTGTTTGTATACACCGTGATCGATAAGCTCGATTTGCTTCGAGCGGAGGTGAAACGAATCGCCTCCAGTGAATGTCATCTTGTCTGGCACAAACTCGGCAGGCAGACGACATTGCTTCCGGTATGCATGCGAACAAAGGAAGTATTAGCAGCGCCCGACGACGTCGTTGCCTCCGCGAAAAAAATGATATGCAGGGCCGCCATCGTCGACATCTCGGCCACAAATTTCAGCAGTGCATGGACTGTACAAAATGATGGAGAAGTGTTGTGGTCTGAATTGGGTCCTCTTCTTCTTTGCACCGCAAAAGGTGCAAAGCGATGTCTTGTGTCACTTGTTCCGCTGGGAGCACATCGAACTCATCCCTGGGTCCTGGAAACGCGTGGACAGGTCATTGAGTGACGTAACAAGGTACGACAACATCTCTACGACGAGTCGGGACTTGATGGCCATCGTGCTGCGTGCTGAAGGAGGGGATCTGAAAAAAGTAACTGTCGCGCCCCGACTTCTTAATGATCTCACCGAAGTGCATGTTGTGGAGGATAAGTTCGGGAAGTGTCAGGGAAAACATGGTGGCGTCGAAGGCGACAAAAATGTTGTGTATTCGTTATGGGAGCGAGAACCCGGAAAGTTGCGGAAGTTGTGCAGTTCATTCATCGGAGACGCGGAAGGTGTCCTTTTGCTGGGTAGGGCATACGCGGGTTTTGTATGGGAGTTCTTGCTTGCAGGTAATAATGTCATTGCCTGCGACGAGTTCATCGACATACTTGTCAAGGAGGCCTTGGCAAGGACATTACCAAGGCCTCCTTTCTTGCAGGTAATAAGGTATTGGCAAGGACATTGCCAAGGCCTCCTTGCTTGGAAAGGTCTTGTATGAAAGGTGTCCTTTTGCAGGTAATAAGGTCTTGGCAAGGACATTGCATACTTGACAAAGTTCATCGACATACTTATCAAGGAGGAGAGATTCGACTGTCGGATCGAGAAGCCGCGTGCCACATACCGCACCAACAGGGATATGTACCACAAGTTGGGACCAAAGAGACTGAACGTGTGGGAATACCTGTTCCACGATGCGCCGGAGGGACGTCTTGACAGAAAATATATATATAAGAAAGTCAAGTTGACAGAGACCCTCAAACATTATCACGGTGCTTTGACTGGCGCCTTCGAGACATTCGTTGTTCGATGCGAGATCTTGAAGTTTGATCTTCACAAAGATCAACTCACGTTCAAGGACTATACAGACCTCGCTAAATCGGGTGAAGGCTTTAATCCCGTCGACAGAGAGGAAGACTCGGCGGACTTCGACCTCGACATTGGAAACGATACCAATGCAACCGGGTGGCGTGGGCAGTCCGCTGCCATGGAGCACGACTGCAAGGAATATGGACCGGGGCGATCATAGGGATGCTCGAACCCGCCACTCGCGCACAGTGTAGCCTCGATGGTGGACTGGTTGGCATGTACGCCTATGAAAGAAGGCGAGGACAATGAGCTTGATATTCCTGCTCAGGCAACAAAGCTGGCGCGAGGCGATCCGATTCCTCATGACTTTTGTGCAGACCCAAACACTATGCGTTTCTTGGAGGACAAACACACCCGCACTGGGGAGGAGAAGTGGGGCCATGATATCATTTGGCATGACGACATTTTACAGCCATGCATCCAAGGCGGGGAGTGGAAGATGGCGGTGAAGTATATGAAGGGTTGGAGACCATTTCCCCGCATGGGAAAGGACAACTGGTTGAAAACGACGGAGCAAGCAATTTTATACCGCGTGCGGAAATAAAACTTCATCACAACAAAGGCGAAACAATTGTTCAATGCCTTGCGAGCCACTCAGCAGTTGGAGTACACACACAAGTTTTACGAGATGCAGACGAGCCCTCACGAGGATCAATCGACTAGAAGGCCGACCGCACCGCCGCGGCCGAGATCATGGAGGTGGACTCTCGAGAAGATGCCGCTCTTATGTCCGAGGCGGCGGCAGGGATCACGAAGGGTGAACAAAGGGAAGATGTCGGGACCACGATGGCCTTGAAGCCTCCTTTGCCAGAGGTGGGGAACACGTCCGCAGGCAAAGAGCCCATCATAGCCATCTCTGTCGAAATGGGGGATACATCACAAGGTGGACATGTGTCATTCGACAAGCCGTCGGATGCGGGCGCCACATACGGGAGTCACCTCGCGACAGGTGCGGCAATGGCAGGCAGATCAGAGATGGAGTCGGAGTCCGCTGTTGGAATGAATGTCACGGGAATGTCGTTGCATCCGCCCTCATGCACTAGCAAAGGTGATGCACACTGTGCAACAACACCACAAGGAGGGGCCGCAGGGGATGACGAGGATGGGGGGAATGCAGAGGGGTCTCAACGTTCTCGCAATATTGAGGACATGACCACGGACGATGAGGATGGGGCAGAAGGTGGAAAGGGCGTGATCGATCCAACACATGTAGAAAATGAGGGGTGAAACAGGGAATGAACTCGAGGGAAATCCTCTTCGCGGGGAAAGTTAATGTTTTCATTTGTTTCCTCATTTGTTTTAAATCTAGGTTTGTGGGTGAAATTTATTCCTGTATACAATTGGGTGGTTTACTCATTTGTTTTCAATATAAGTTTTTGGGATTTGGCCATTTCATTGTTGTCAATTAAATTGTGCGGTGAACAGGAGTGTGTCGTAGTATGCGTGTGTGTCTCTTTATATTCGTCGATTTGTGGCGGTATGTATATGCATGTATGCGTTTGGGGTACGGTGACGAAAGGGGGCAGGAGTATGAAATGATTGATTGCATACATCAATGTCGTCAATCTAAGCGTAAGATTAGAGAAACATTGATGACATATTTTGAATACATCATTTCTGTTGCTCATGTTATGGTAAGGCATTTGCCCATGTACAAGTATCTCACATCCATTCCCTCCCTTTTTTTTTCACCGCCTAGGCCACCGTTTTTTTTCACCCCCGTCTGGGCGACCGTTTTTTACCCCCCCCATCGACCACTATTGTTTACACCCCCGTCAATGTCGTATTCGTCGTGATTGTCATGTGCAGTGCAAATTACAACAACGGGAGCAAAAAACTGCAAAAGAGGGTGGATAATGCGCCTCGCAACGTCGTCTTTGTCAGAGAAGGAGATGAAAGCACTTCCGCATGTCATCCGGGAGTACGGGAATAGGTTTCCAATAGCAAGCACACACAATCACCAGACGAACGAAGTATTGAAGCTAAGTCGAGATGATTTTATTTTACTAGTCGGCGAGTGGAACTGGTTAAATGACAACGTCGTCAACTTCTACCTTAACCTCATCGCACTGGACAACTGGTGTAGAATCACACATGTAGAATGCGACACAGAGAACGAAACCATGATTAGAACAGGAAAGGGTCGCATTCCTAGAACATCAGTGATGAACTCATTTTTCTTCGCCAAACTTTTCGACAACGATATGAGATATCGAGAGTGAGAGGTGCAGCACTGGTCGAATGACGTCATAGTAAGTGCCATGGACTTGATAATTGCCGCTTTCCATACCGCACACATGAACCACTGGACCCTCGTTGTGGCTGACTTCAGGAGGAGGAAATTCGAATTCTACGACTCCCCCAGCCCTGACATAGAACTGGCACGAAAAGTGACCGGCGGATTTGCAAAGTTTCTATTCGAAAGATCGATTGAGCAAAGCAAAGAGGTGGACACGAAACCATTTAATCACATATGGAACATAGAGGGCATCCCGAAACAACGTGACACTAGCTCGTGCGGGGTCTTCATGCTCGCATACGCATCGCTGTTGGTAAGGGGTCACCTTCCGCCTTTCTCTTTCACCGCTGATGACATACCCGCAATACATTGTCGGATGGCTTTGGACACAGTGACTTGTCAGTAGTATGTACCCGTTGCTGGATATTGTGATTACATGCGGACGGATGTGGGTAACATTAAATTGTTTGTAACAGAAACAGTGTGTAGAAGGTGACAAACATTGCTCCAGACCCCTACCCCTTACCCCTTGCCATTTACCCCTTATCCCTTACCCCTAAACCCCTTACCCCTTACCCCTTACCCCTTACCCCATACCTCGAATTTGAAATGCTTTTTGCACTCAAAATCATAATGAAAATGACACTTTCAATTTCATTCAAAAAATATAAAATGTCCGTTTTGACGAAATCGCTGTTTATCAGCTCTTCATCTGATGATCTGACTTACTTGCCCGTTCTCTTCATGCTCTCCTATTCCTTACTTCTTCCCTTCAACCCTTTCTTCGTACGTGAATATAAAAACTCTGCTAACGCCCACCAAATCGAATCTCCCACTCTCTTTTATAACTCCTCCCCGTAATCAGATTAGGAAAGAATTTTTCTCTCGCGCAATCACCCCGTTATCTGATTAGGAAAATCAGATCGGGGAGGAGTTTTCCTCAAGGCAATCACTCATCATATATGGACGCACTTTCCTTTCTTTCCTTTTGAGTAGAGATGTGCTCTTAATTAAGGAAGAACCATTGCACTTTAGTCACTCTTCCTTCGGTTTCAAATCTTCTTTACTCTCTGAATGACTCTCCCATTTTCAAGCGTTCCCCTTCTAAATTTTGTTGCGATCACATAGAAGGTGCGGACTCTCTTTCCCCACCTTCCATCTGAGATTAGGAATGAAACTATTCACTATGTACACTCTTCCTGCGATGTAGACTCTCTTTCCCCACCTTCCTTGTGGGTAGAGATATGCTCTTCCCCGTAATTAGGGCTGAAACATTTCGCCGTGTACATTCTCCTTTCGATTCCTGACCTTCATCCCCTTTCATGGAAGACAACTCATGACTTCACAATGTTGGAGTTCCTTTCCACACACTTTGCCTTTGCGGGGGCATTCTCCGCTTACCTCCATCCACATTGACCGACAATCAACATGCTATTGCCACAAATCGTAAATTTTCACTTTGGCGATGGGAAAAAAACGCCGAATCCGACAGTCACTACTACTCCAATGCTGGTTACCCATACATGTCGCAGTATCCTATCAAATCAGACGCAGGATCACGTCAGTCTGTGAGGTGGTTACGTCCAGTGCCTCCACATGTCAAGCGTGTGTGCGTTAGGCAGCTTAATGTTTCGTCCATGAGGGTCAAATATTTAGAATCAGGGTGTTAAAAAATAAAGATATATGGTTGGCTTTCAAGTCGGACACGACCATATCACATCTGCCTCTTCAGCCGACCAATAGGAAATGGACTAACTTTGGGGGAAGGGGAAGGCCTTACCCTAGATCCCTACATACGTTGACGATCAAATCTACCTATTAATGCTATAGAGGGGAAGCCCGATGGATGAAACATCTGAATGTGAGCAGGGAATCGGTACACTCAATTAAATGGTTTAACACAATAAAGTCCAAACCAGCCAAAGTAGCCTTTTTACAATGGAAAATAGCCCATAGATGCCTCCCTACGAATATCAAGCTGATTGACAGATCTTCATTGGAGCAGAGAGGTGTCGCCCTGCACTGGTGCAAACTCTGCAAGTCAGCTTTCCGACTAGATTGATTCCGGAAACTACAGAGCATACATTTTTTCTTCAATGCCTAGAGTAATATGGTTATGGCGTTGGTGGGACAGAGTCTGGAGCCAGCTGGGCATTGCCCTTCCCTAGCCTTGGGAGTGGAAAACGCTCCTCTTAGAAAATTGGATGACTTTTTCCATAATCTATTTAAATTAGGACGGGGGGCGATCCTTTGGGCGATTTGTTTGAGACGGTGCACATACGAAATGGAAGGAGCACACTTGGATGGTCCTGAATTTATAGACACTATTAAACGGCATATACAAACGAATATTGCTACCAAATGGGAAAAGACAAGAGACAAGATATAGCATTTATCATCACGAACTGAAATCCTTTAGCACACAACATTTATCGTCATGAACTGAAATTCTTCAGCACATCCAACACTTCAATGATTGTCGGCTTGGGGGGGACCAAGGTGGGAAATTGGGGCAGGTTAAGTGGGAAGGCGAACAAACAGGGGAGTGGAGCTTTGCATAAATTATCGCCTTGTTTTCAATGATTGAGTTGACGTTGATCCTGCATCTGCGGACTTCCGAGACCTTTTCCTTTGGTACCCAGGTCGTGGTATGGGTATGACTGATTGTTAGTTGGTATGCATTTTTGAGCCAAGGATTGGTTGTACGAGGGGATGGAGAGGTGTTAAGGATGCATGGGAATTGTGAGGCCCTAACTAGGGTTAAGAAACACTTTTTATCCTTCACCATAGTTTTGCTGGTTGATGACTTTCTTGATCATCATGATACACTTGATGGAACGCTGGACCCGTTTTCCAGCAGGTGCAACTCCCCACCGATAGATGGAGCAACCTGGGAGGGTCCTACTAAGGGGGTTGTTTATATCAACCCTCCTAGTAGGATCGTCATATTTTATTTGAGGGGAAAAACTTAATTAAAAAATTGCACGCCATACCCACCTTTCCCAAGACTCACCCCCCACACAAAACTTTAAATCGCAACGCACGCACACACACACACACACACACACACACACACACACGCGCGCGCGCATGCACGCACGCAAAAAAAAAAAAAAAAAAAAAAAAAAAAAAAAAAACATTCATGTACAATACTTGGATGAATCAATCCCAAGGGAAGTTTGGTGTTAATTTGATAAATATTAGTAAGAGGATCCCTTAGAAACTATTGGAAGAAGTAGATAGAAAATATGAAAGCAGTTTTGGCAAGTCCCGTAAAAATTAAATAAAATATCTTTGTCGGATCAATGTAAAGCAATTATTTTATAATCTCTTATGGGAGATGGTTCACTCAAAATATTCAATAAGAATGCAAGATTCTTTATTCGACATAGCCAAATTCAAGAAGAATATTTTCTATGGAAGGCTAGTGCACTGCAAGAAATATCACCTTCGGTACCTTCTGAAAAACTCGTTAAAAAAAAAAAAAAAAAAAGTCTTATGTATGTCTCTCTATTTTGTTTTCAGTACTTTTTATGCACGTAAGTCAACACCTCTACGAAGTGCTACATAGTCCAATTGCGGGATGTATGAAGTGCCTGTAACACTTTTAAAGGGGTCGTCGAGCTCAGGATGTCTGTGGGTACAGTTCCATCGTTGATGACAGACGTTCGTCTGGTTCCCTCGTTCAGCGTGTTGTATGAGCAAATGATCTGCGGGGTTCGGCCTGTGGAGTGCATGGTGATTAATTTATTTGGTCTGTGTTCGATGCACTCCACAAGCTGGACCCCGCAGATCATTTGCTCCCACAACATGTTGAACCAGGGAACCATACGAATGTCTATCATCAACGATGAAACTGTACCCACAGACATCTTGAGCTCGACGACCCCCTTAAAAGTGTTACAGGCACTCCAGACAACCCACAATCGGACTATGTAGCACTTCTTAGAGGTGCTGACTTAGGGCAACTGCCCAATCAAGGGGGGAGTCAACAAATACAAGAAGGGAAGGGGAA